ATAATTGCTATGGTCACTAAATTGCTATGTAGCCAACACTGCAAATTTTACCTATAAAAACTTATCACAAACTGCACTAGTCTGTCAAGAGCTCTGCTGGCATGAGCCACTCTTGACCGCACACTCATAAAGGACTCTTAATCTGAAACTTGGCGTGCTGGCGTGACTTCTTCCCGCTTTCTCAGTCATAACAGTTGCGCAGAGGTGGGAACACAACATCAGTAAGGGTACCTTATCTCAAACCAGGCAAAATGGAGACCAAAGGGAGGCCCAAACTTTACCTGCATGATGTCAACTTGTATACCTAATCCTGAATTGTACCCCACATCTTTAAAATAAAATAAAAAAAAAAAGAAAGCATCCTTATTAGATTCATTTCATGGATAAGGAAACTGAGACTTAGAAAAATTAAATGTGGCCGGGCTCGGTGCTCAGCCTGTAATCCCGCGCCTTTGGGAGGCTGAGGTGAGTGGATTGCCTGAGCCTGCAGGTTCAAGACCCGCCTGGGCAGGTGAGACCTCATCTCGACAATAAAATCAAAAACTAGCCGGGTGTGGTAGCGTGCGCCTGTAATTCCAGGTACTCGGAAGGCTGAGGCGGAAGGATCGCCGGAGCCCAGCAGGTCGAGGCTGCGGTGGCTGGGAGCGTGCCACTGCACTCCAGCCTGGGTGACAGAGTGAGACTCCAACTCAGAAACAAACAAACAAACAAACAGATAAATTAAATGTGGCAGTAGTGGGAAACTGATGGAGGGGCACACCTCATCAACAAGAGTACCTGCATGGCTGGGCTCAGTGACTCAGCCTGTAATCCCAGCACTTTGGGAGGCCCAGACGAGTGGATTGCCTGAGCCTGCAGGTTCAAGACCTGCCTGGGCATCTTGGTAAGACCTCGTCTCTACAATAAATCAAAAATTAGCAGCTGAACATGAGTTCTACCGTCGGGCTCTCCTCTGCTGCCACCATGAGCTTCACCACTCGCTCCACCACCTACTCCTCCAACTACCGGTCCCTGGGCTCCATCCCGCCACCCAGCCTGCAGCCCACCAGCAGCGCGGCCAGCGTCTATGCAGGCGCCAGCGGCTCGGGCTCCCAGATCTCTGTGTCCCGCTCCACCAGTTTCCGGGGCGGCTGGGGGTCCGGGGGCCTGGCCACAGGGATGGCCGGGAGTCTGGGGGGCATCCAGAGCGAGAAGGAGACCATGCAAGAGCTGAACGACCGCCTGGCCTCCTACCTGGAGAGGGTGAGGAGCCTGGAGACCGAGAACCGGAGGCTAGAGAGCAAAATCCGGGAGCACCTGGAGAAGAAGGGACCCCAGGTCAGAGACTGGGGACATTACTTCAAGACCATCGAGGACCTGAGGGCTCAGATCTTTGCAACTTCTGTGGACAGTGCCCGCATCGTTCTGCAGATAGACAACGCCCGTCTTGCTGCTGATGACTTTAGAGTCAAGTATGAGACAGAGCTGGCCATGCGCCAGTCCGTGGAGAGCGACATCCATGGGATCCGCAAGGTCATCGATGACACCAGTGTCACCCGGCTGCAGCTGGAGACAGAGATCGAGGCCCTCAAGGAAGAGCTGCTCTTCATGAAGAAGAACCATGAGGAGGAAGTCAAAGACCTACAAGCCCAGATTGCCAGCTCTGGGTTGACCGTGGAGGTAGATGCCCTCAAATCTCAGGACCTCAGCAAGATCCTGGCGGACATCTGGGCCCAGTATGATGGCCTGGCTCAGAAGAACCGAGAGAAGCTGGACAAGTACTGGTCCCAGCAGATCGAGGAGAGTACCACAGTGGTCACCACGCAGTCCGCTGAGATTAAAGCTGCCAAGATGACGCTCATGGAGCTGAAACACACAATGCAGTCCTTAGAGACTGACCTGAACTCCATGAGAAACCTGAAGGCCAGCTTGGAGAACAGCTTGAGAGAGGTGGAGGCCCACTACGCCATGCAGATGGAGCAGCTCAATGGCACCCTGCTGCACTGGAGTCTGAGCTGGCACAGACCCGGAGAGAGGGCCAGCTCCAGGCCCAGGAATACGAGTCCCTGCTGAACATCAAGGTGAAGCTGGAGGCTGAGATAGCCACCTACCGCCGCCTACTGCAAGACGGAGAGGACTTCAGTCTCAGTGATAGCCTGGACAGCAGCAGCTCCATCCAGACCATCCAAAAGACCGTCCACAAGAGAGTGGACGGCAAATTGGTGTCTGAAACCAATGACACCAAAGTTATGAGGCATTGAGGCGGCGGGAACAGGGTGTCCTTCGGGGAAGCAGGAAGTCAATAAAAAGTTCAGAGGTTGGCTGGGCTCGGTGGCTCAGCCTGTAATCCCAGCACTTTGGGAGGCCGAGGTGAGTGGATTGCCTGAGCCTGCAGGTTCAAGACCCACCTGGGCAACTTGGTGAGACCTCATCTCTACAATAAATAAAAAATTAGCCGGGCGTGGTAGCGCGCACCTATAGTTCCAGTTCCTTGGAAGGCTGAGGCGGAAGGATCGCCGGGGCCCAGGAGTGGCCACTGCACTCCAGTCTGGGCGACAGAGTGAGACTTCAAATCAAAAAAATAAAAATAAAAGTTCAGAGGTCAAAAAAATATTAGCCAAACATGGTAGCGAACACCTATAGTTCTGGCTACTTGGAAGGTTGAAGCGGAAGGATCGCCAGAGCCCAGTAGGTCAAGGCTGCGGTGGCCGGGAGCAGCCACTGCACTCCAGTCTGGGTGACAGAGTGAGACTCTAACTCAAAAAAAAAAAAAGAAAAATTAAATGTCTTTACAGGGTCACTTCGCTTGAGAGTGATAAATCTGGCTAACCTCACAGTCTGGGTATCTAACCATCATGCTATACTCCCGGTAGATGGTTACAACCTAAAAAGGGGTCTGCGTCACTCCTATCCTTACTTTCAGAGATGAGTTTTGAACTTATGCAGCTGAGAATACTGAATTTTCAGAAAATTGTGCCCAGGAAGGAATCAACGAAACATATTTTCTCATCCATATTTTTCTCATCCATGCTTTGGGAGGCTGAGGTGAGTGGATTGCCTAAGCCCGCGGGTTAGAGACCCTCCTGGGCAACTTGGCGAGACCTCATCTCTACAATAAATAAAAAAAAAATCAGCCGGGCGTGGTAGTGCATGCCTGTAATTCCGGCTACTTGGAAGGCTGAGGCGGAAGGATCGCCGGAGCCCAGCAGGTCGAGGTTGCGGTGGCCAGGAGCGGCCACTGCACTCCAGTCTGGGCGACAGAGTGAGACTCCAACTCCAAAAAAGAAAAAGAAAAAAAAAAGCTCAAAGGGAATGGACTTAAAAAAAAAAAAAAGAAATAGTCATATTAGATGTTTGGAAGCAGTTACTATGTCGTATCCAGGAATATTATGGAGCTCTGCCCTCTGGAAAATATTTAGAAAAAGATAGGCATGTACTTCTTGGAAATGTTTGTGCTTAAGTTTAAATTCTGAACCAAAATAAAGATTTCACAAAGCCTTTCTTACCATGTATCAATTCTAAAATAAACTGAGGTGAAATGAGAGGCAACTTTCTGGCCTCTCCCAACTGGAAGAAGGTCAACCCTGAGAATTATGGCCAGGAACCCAGTTCCCCCTCAGGAAAAAAGACTTTAAAGACCATTTACCCCCCAGGACTCCATGATGGGGATGTGGGCTTCCCTCTTCCTCTCCTTTCCCCAATATAACTTAAGGGTGAGATTGGAGGGCTAAGATTGGAAACAGGGATTCTAGGGGCTGCCCTGTGGGCTCTGCTACCAAGACCACTAAGTATTTGCCTAGAAATCCAGCAATACCTATCGGTAGACCAATTTCTTTTTTTTATTTTTTTGAGTTGGAGTCTCACTCTGTCACCTAAGCTGGAGGGCAGTGGCACACTTACAGCTAACTGCAGCCTTAACCTGTTGGGCTCAGGCGATCCTTCCAATTTTTTTTTTTGACAGGGTCTCACTGTGTCACTCAGGCTGCAGTGGCAGTGATGTGATCCTGGCTCACGACATCCTCAACCTTCTGGGCTCAGGCAATACTCTCGCCTTGGCACACACTGCCACAGTTGACTAATTTTTGCCTTTTTTTTCCCCTCTGGGTAATGATGAGGTCTTACCATGTTGTCTAAGCTGGTCTCCAACTCTTGGGTTCAAGCAGTCCTCCCACCTCAGTCTCCCAAAGTGCTAGGATTACAGGTGTGAGTCACCCCACCCAGCCATTGCAGACCAAATTTTTGTACCCATAAGTTCATCTCTCAATCAAAATCATGGGCTCCTATCAGACATAACAAATAAAACTAATTAATCAGAACACCTGTAGCACAGAGCTTCAAATTCAGTATTCTGGACTGTTGGGTGAAGCTAAGGCTCATTGGGAAGGGTTCATTTCCCTAAATTGGGTCTTGAAACTAGACACCTTTTAGATGGGACGTAGTTAGACCCCGGTGGGTGGAAACACATGGAAACCCTACTGAAAAGATCTGAACAGATAGTAACCCAAACTTCCTCCCAACCCTCAGAGCCTATATGGGGTAAGGTTAAGCATAAAAGCTTTAGAAATAGTCCACCTGGGTTCAGATCCTGATTCTGCTGCTCACACAGCAACCCTGAGCAGATTCCTCACCTTCTCTGTGCTTCAATTCCCATCTGCAAATGGATATATTAGTAGCTCTTACTTTATAGAATTCTTGTAGGACTTACCTGAGGTTGTGTATGTTAAGTGCTTAGAAGTGTGCCTAGCACTTTGACTAGTGATCGGTCAAGTTTAGCTATTATTATTGTTATTGACATAAAGGGCATCCTGGCACATGTCTTGCCTACCTCTTGAGACAAATCCTTTTTCTTAGAGGCTTGAGGGCTTTGGCCCCCCTGAGTCAGAAGAATTCACCCCCAGGCTTCCCTTTGCAGTCAATTACTCAGGCTGGTCAATATCTCTGGGTTCCACAGTCACTGGGCATTCTCCTCTAGGTACAGGAAGAAACCATCACCCAGGCATATTTTTTGGAGGACTGACCATCTAGCTTGAACTGTCTGCATCTTCCTGCAGCCCACCCACGAAACCCCGTTTGGCTCCTCCCAAGGACCCTGCAGTTGAAATCAGAAGGTTTCACAGCCACACAGTTCCGAGTAATCTCAGATCCTTTCTTCTCTTCTCCGGTCCAAAAAATAACCCATGTCTTCTCCAGTTCATAAAAGATTAGTTCCCCCTTCACAGTTTGTTCATAGCACAATACTTTCCAGGGCTGAGAATAAAAAACTACCTCCACAAACCCATCCTCTAAAGCCTTCCCAGGCCAGCTGCCAAGAACCACTCTCAACTAGTCTGAGCCAGGGCTTTAGCTCCCACTGACTTTCCTGCTGGGAGTTGCCTGGAGCTGTCTCCCTGTGGACAGGGCCAATTACTGCCAAGATTCCATTCACTCCCACTGTTTCAAAGACCAAACCCTGCATAGCTAAGCACAACCCCCCAACCAGCCCCACCCCACCCCATCTCCGCTTTCTCCCTGGAACCTGAAGTCAGGAACTCGGCTGTCGTTATTTCATTGAAGGAGAGTTGAAGGAGAGAGCAGGAAATGCCCTCAGTCACCCATCCAACATTTACCAAGCACCTACAGCATGCCCCTGGCCTGTGTACCAAGGAGTCACTTTGTAGATAGCTAACATCAGGTTGAGATTATGCAGCGGGTAAGCGCTGGTTTCTGTTCAAACTTTTGCCCCATTATTTCAGAGCACTGCAAAGCACCTCTGATCCCTAAGCTTTGTACCAGAGTCTTAGACATTCATTATGCCCCTTGGTAAGGGCGAGGTGGTGAAGCATGGTACAGAACGCAGCACAGTGCCCAGCTTGAGAAAGCAGGTTGGGTAGAATCAGAAGTGATACCTTGCTGTCACCGGTTTGGATTGTGTGACCCAGATCTCATCAGTACAATAAGTCCCCTGTGAACAAACAAGTTCCATTCTGAGAGTGCATTCATAAGTCCAATTGGTTTGTGAGTCCAACCAAGTTAACCTAGGTACCCAACTAACACAATCGGCTATAGAGTACCACCTACACCCTGGGCTTGAAATAAAGTACTGTATAATAAAGTGGGGTGCAGTGGCTCATGCCTATAATTCCAGCACTTTGGGAGGCTGAGGTGAAAGGATTGCCCGAGCCCACATGTTCAAGACGAACCGGAGCAACTTGGCGAGACCTCATCTGTCTCTACAATAAATAAAAAAATCAGCCGGGCATGGTGGTGCATGCCTGTGGGTCCAACTCTTTGGAAGGCTGAGACAGAAGGATTGCCTGAGCCCAGTTGGTTGAGGCTGCAGTGGCTGTGAGTGTGCCACTGCACTCCAACCTGGGTGACAGAGTGAGACTTTGACTCAAAAAAAAAAAAGAATAAATAGATAATAAAGCACACGATAGCACAACCACTTGTAGTTGCACACACGGCAACGTTTGCCACACATGTGAACCAACATATGTGACTGGAGATGTGAAAGTCTGCAACTTGAAGGTTTGTATGTAAGGGACTTACTGTGCCAGGTACATTCAAGGGCAGGGACCTACAAGGGAGAGGGCATGACTCCTACTCCTGGGAGGTAGGCAAACCAAGACCTAACAAGTGTACTCTTAGCTGTCAGCAGAGGTGGCAGGCCTGGAGAAGAACACAGATAAAGACCTGCTAGCTGGGCATGGTGTCTCATTCCTATAATTCTATCACTTTGGGGGGATTGTTCGTTTTTTTTGGAGAAAGGGTTTTGCTTTGTCACCCAGGCCGATGTGTGGTGGTGCCATCATGGTGCACTGCAATGTTGAACTCAAGGGCTCAAGCAATCCCACCTCAGGCTTCCAAGTAGCTGGGACTACTGGTGTGCACCAACATGCCTGGCTAATTTTTAAATTTTTTGTAGAGATGGGTTCTTGCTATGTTGCCCAGGCTGGTCTTGAACTCCTGGGCTCAAGCAATCTCCCCACCTTGGCCTCCCAAAGTGCTTGGTTTACAGGTGTTGTTGTACCCCAAAGTCCTAAATCCGAGAGACCACCAAAGAGCCAGCTCTGATGCAAACACACGAGGGTCTTTTTATTCAGGCTCGAGTCTGGGCTCCCGTATGTAACCGACACAGCGGTATAGGAACGAGAGCCCCGACCTAGTAGAGCAAGTAGTTTATATACACAGTTACGAGGGAGGGACTGGGCGTGACCGGCTTTTCCTAGGCTTGAGATGTTATCCAATTAGAAGAAGCCATGACGTAGAAAACGAAGTCCACAGACTTTGCATAATTAGTTCTCAATTCGGTCCGCGGTGATGTCAGGGGACAGGAGAGCTTGAGATTGGTTGGTTCGTTTTTGATTTGCACGGGCGCGGGCTCAGTTGCCCGTGATTGACTACTAATGGCCAAACAGGCAGAGTGGAGGTAGTTAAGCCTCCTGGAATGTTAGATAAGCTACGGTTTACAGTCAGCTTTGGCGTATGATCAGGTTTGAAACAACACAGAGCCCACCAGAAGAGTGGCTGGCGCCACAGAGCCTACCATAATTTAAGCAAAGGAATGTCCAGGAGGGGCTTATTGCTTAACATTCACACACACTGCCAGCAGCAGTTGCAGAAGCAGAAGAAACCGGTTATTTCATTTAACATGGTTATTCTGGGACAAACAAAAACGTAACAAAGTTCTAAGTACAAACACGGTAAACATTTTGTGACTTTATGGTCACAGGCGCCTTACATATGCCTAGTCTTATGGGGTTTGAAGTAGGGATTTATAAAATACAGTGAACGTGGGGTAGGAATTCATACAGTAAACGTTCCTTTCATAGCAAGTATGGTTCTTTTGAGTCTTTCGGTGTGAGCCAGTGTGCCTGGTCAATCCCAGACTTTGGGAGACTGAGATGGGAGGATTGCTTGAGGCAATTATTATTATTATTATTTTGAGTCAGAGGTCTTGCTCTGTCACCCAGGCTGAAGTGCAGTGGCATGATCACGGCTCACCACAGCCTCAACCTCTGGGATTAAAGTGATCCTTCTGCCTCAGCCTCCTGAGTACTGCGACTACAGGTGTGCACTACCATGCCTAGCTAATTTTTTTTTTTTTTTTGAGT